ACTGAACTGAACTGAACTGAACTGAACTGAACTGAACTGAACTGAACTTCCCTCTCTCCATCACTACTTTGAAGTAGCATCTCTTTCTTGTCTATTCTTGTGCGAGTTGGCTTATTCTCTCTCTGATTCATTCTGTCAAATCTTCCTCTGATTCGTCACTTTGTCTGCTCCTCAATTAGTTGTCATTGTTCAGGATTAAAGGTGTGTACTAAGGGTGTGTTTGTATTGCAGCCAGAGGGATCAAGGGTGTGTATTCCAGGCAGAGGAATTAAAGGTGTGTAGCTGTCTGCATTCCAGCCAGTTCATAACTTTGGATGTGATCCCTTGCCAGAGCAGCCATGTTGTTGAATTAAAATTCCTCTACACTCTTGACCCCCTCAGTGCTGCAAATGAGAGAACCAAGGTACAGTGTCTCTGCTAGTGGAGTCAAGCTTTTATCATGGGCTGTGTGACTCAGGTTACCCTTGGAGGTATTCTCACTTCCAAGGTGTCTATCGTGTATCTTCTGTTGTTCTAAAAGTCATTCATCAACACCTTTTGAGTACCCTCTGTCTGGCATAGTCTCTGCTTTCATGTAATTCACAGATTCACAGATGATTAGAGAATCAGACGTCAAATCAATGAATATACAATAAAGTTCAAATAATGATAATCCTGTGGGAAAAACAAAGCTGGAGAAAGAGCTGGAGGATGATGAAAGAATACAAGGGTTACTTTTATATTTTATTGGACTGAGAAGACCTCTTAAGTGGATATCTTTGAGCAGCAGCCTGTATGAAGAGAAAGGGGTAGCCACATTGGGATCTGTGACACACACACACACACACACACACACAGAGAGAGAGGGAGAGAGAGAGAGAGAGAGAGAGAGAGAGAGGGAGGAGATAGAGAGACAAAGACAGAGAGAATAGTACAGAGGTGGTGAGGTCACTGTGAGCCGGGGTCAACCAGTGACTCGGGGCAGGAGGGACTCGGGGAGAGAAGTGGTGTGGGGGAGGGGAGGGAGGGAGCTGGGTCAGTAGTGTCCACTCTACAGGAGGGAGTTTAGATTTGTATAATGAGATGGTTTTGAGAACTTAAATCAAGGAAGTGACATATTTAGATTTATATATATATTTTTTTATTGGATGATTTATTTACATTTCCTATGTTGTCCCCTTACCCCATCCCCCACCACCCCCTCGGAACCCCCAATCCCCTCGCCCCTCCTCCTTCTTCTCTGTGGATGTAACCTCTATCTACCCCCCCCCCCACTCCCACCTCCCCACCCTCAAAATTCCCACCCCCTGGGGCATCCAGCCTTCATGAGGTCAAGGTTCTCTTCTTCCACCTATGCCCAGCAGGGCCCTCCACTTTTACATATTCAGCTGAAGCCCTGGATCCCTCCCTAAGTGCTCCCAGGCTGGTGGTTTAGACCCTGGGAGCTGTGGTTGGTTGGTATTGTTGCTCTCCTCATGGTGCCACAAACCCTTTCAGCTCCTTCAGTCTTCACTCTAACTCCTCCATTGAGAACCCCATGATCAGTTCAATGGCTAGTTGTGAGCATCTGCCTCTGAATATGTCTGACTCTTGAAGGCCTCTGAGGAGATATCCATATCAGGCTCTTATCAGCATGCACTTCCTGTCTTCCACATCAGCATCTACCTTTGGTGATTGCACATGGGATAGATACTCAGGTGGAGTGGTCTTGAGACGGCCCCTCCTTCAGTTTCTGTCCCTCACTTTGTCTCCATATTTGCTCCCTGATTTATATATTTTTAAAACTTTTTTTAAAGCCAGGATCTCATTGTGTAGTAGTCCTGGCTATCCTGGAACTTGCTGTATTTACTTATTTATTTTTAATTATGTATGTATGCATTGTGTCTGTGTTTGTGCACATGAGTGCAGCTGTCTGAAGATGCCCTTACTGCTGGAGTCACAGAGGTTTGTGAGCTGCCTATGTGCCACCCTCTGCTAACAGCTGAGTCAGCTTTCTAGCCTTGGATCTATTTTATTTTATTTTATTTTAGTTAGTTTAGTTTAGTTTTGAAGCTCCCTAGCTGTGGTGTGGAGAACTGTATCTGCATTCATGTTGATCATAGGTGGTGCCAACAGCGTGAAATACCTACTACAGAGTCCAGGTCACACAGACTCCACTGCCGAGGCCTCTGCTGGCCGAGACAATGGGGCCTTCAGCTCACTCAACCCTTACTCATCTCCCCTAAGCTCTTTGTGTTTTTTTTTTTTTTTTCTGTTGCTTTTATTTCTCATGGGGCAGTGTCTTGAGAATCATTTTGTGATAAACTTAATGACCCTGAAGAAAAATGTTGGCTTTACATGACCAGCTTTAAAAACAGGATTCATGTTTACCTAGAAGGATTTATGACCAGAGAATGGAGAGGAGGAATAGCAAAGGGACTGGAAAAATTCCACAAAGGGATTCTGCATGATGAGGAACACGGGCTCACTAGGGCAGCCTAGGTCCTCTCTTCAGTCTGTGTCCTCATGGAGAGAGATCTTGGTTGACTTGCTAATCTTGCAAGGCTGTCATGTGTGCAGTCAGAGTGGTAGCCTCACTGTTGCAGAGACTTTGGGCACTGGAGGTTCCTCAGTCTTTCATATGTACTCACCTACTGCAGGGGACACCCTGGAACGAGGGACTGAAGGTTACTGGCTGAGGTTCCCCAGGGCAAGCCTAGGAAAGTTAGCATAGGCTCTCTGTAGACCAGGGAAAGAGATGGCAGATAGATAGTTTAACCAGCACAGTACACGCATTTGTACTCAGGCACACACAGGGAGAAGCCATTGTTGGATAGCTTATATACATTTGATAAGTCAGGTGTATAAAAGACTTAAAAATATTTTTATGTGTGAATATTTTGTTTGCTTGCAGATATGTGTGTGCACTACATGTGTGCATGGTGCCTGCAGATGCAGTAACAGAACTTTAGATCCTTTAGAACTAGAATTATAGACAGCTACGAGCCATCAGGTGGGTCTGGGGATGAAGCCCTGCCCTCTGCAAGAGCAGCAGTGCTCTTAACCACTAAGCTCCTAGATCAGTGATTAATATTGATAGTTGCTTCAGTGCATGTGCCTTTCAAATATGGAGCGGAGTGGGTCGGGGCTAGACTTAAGGAGAGAGAACATCTCACATATTTGAAGACATCTGTCTTAGATGGGGTGGATTTCAGAGACAGTATGTGACAACATGGTGGCTTCTGGAAGTGCCTTGCTTGGCCAAGGATTTTTATTTCTTTTGTTCTTTTGTGCAGTGGTTAGCCGCTGACTAAGCTATTGTAAGGCCAGTGCTCTAGTGTTGATAAAGGCAGGCCCTTGCGGAACGTAATAAGGTGGCTTGCCTGTAGTCTGTGTTTAAAACTTTACTGAAAGGGCAGTGCCACTCTGACTATCTCAGATTTTCAGAGATGATGTCCCCTGCCAGACCTTCAGGTCAGCAACAGCTGTTGTAGCAAGGCTCTGCCTTCATATCCACACCAGAGCAGCTGCCGAGGGCACGGAGCCCCAGCTGATGGTTCCTCATGCTGCTCCATGGTTGGAAGAATAGCTGAAACAGAAGCTGTCTTAGGGTTCTATTGCTGTGAACAGACGCCATGACCAAGGCAACTCTTATAAAGGAAAACATTTAATTTGGGGCTGGCTTACAGGTTCAGAGGGTTAGTGCATTACCATCGTGATGGGAGCATGGTAGTGTCCAGGCAGATGTGGTGCTGGAGAAGGAGCTGAGAGTTGTTCTACACTGATCTGAAAGCATCCAGGAGGGGACTGGATGAGTTTCACACTGGGAGTAGCTTGAACATTTAAGACCTCAAAAGCCCTGCCTCCACAGTGACACACTTGCTCTGACAGGCCACACCTCCTACTAGTGCCACTCCCTGTGAGCCTATGGGAGCCATTTTCATTCTAACCACCATAGCCTTTTTAAAATGTTATATTTGTAATAAATTCTTAACATGTCATTTATTCAGGTAGCTTTAGACGGTCATCCTAAGGTGGAAAGAGAATGAAAGCTGCTTTGTAAGTCTGTTGTCCCTCCCTCCCTCCCTCCCTCCCTCCCTCCCTCCTTCCTTCCTTCCTTCCTTCCTTTTGTTTTTTCTGCCTGCCTGCCTGTCTTCCTTTCCTCCCTCCCTGACATTTCTGTCTGACAAGCTCTTTGATCTTTTTTTAAATCTGGAATTTTAAATTAAATACAAAAGAGGACAGATTGTAGGATGGGCTAGGGTGCTGGTTATCAAGGTTTTGACAACTTGATATAAGCTAGAGTCATCTGGGAAGATGAACCTCGAGTGAGAAGATACCTCCATCAGATTGCTTGTAGGCGGGTCTGGGGCACGGTATTGATCAATGATTGTTGTGCGAAGGCCACACTGTAAGAGGTGCCATCCCTGTGCAGGTGATCCTTGGGTGTTATCAGAAAGCAGGCTGAGCAAGCCATGGAGAGCAAGCCAGTAAGCAGCATCCCTCCATGGCCTCTGCTCTAGCTCCTGCTTGAGGCCCTCCTCTGACCTGTTTGTTCGAGACAGGTGGAGTGAACAGAAGCACTGGTGCTTTTAAAGTTGTAGTTGAGGTGTTTCTCAGCATGGCTGCAGCAGCTGCGGTAGTGAGGTTCTCCATCCCTGTGATCTGTAAGGATGTTCTTCTCTTCTTTCAGGATCTCATCTTGCCCAATGGTGGGACTCCAGCAGGCACTTCAAGTCCAGCTTCCTCATCTTCCCTTCTGAACAGACTTCAGCTTGATGATGACATTGACGGCGAAACCAGAGATCTCTTTGTCACAGTTGATGACCCCAAGAAGCACGTCTGCACAATGGAGACCTACATCACGTACAGGGTCACCACCAAAGTAGGTCTCTCTCTCAGAGTGTCGAGGTTCACACTTGTGCTTTTGTGTTTGGTGAGTTGGCACAGGCTAGGGTCATCTGAAGGAGGGGTCCTCAGTTAAGGAGATGCCTCCTTAAGATTGGCCTGTGGGCAAGTGTGTGGAGCATTTTCTTAATTAATGATTGGCATAAGAAGGCCCAGCCCAGTGTAGGTGGTGCCACCCCTAGGCAGGTGGTCCTACGAGGTATAAGAAAGGCAACAAACATGAGCCTGGAGAAGCAAGCCAGTAAGCAGCCTTCCTCCATGGTCTCTGCATCAATTCCTGCCTCTAAGCTCCTACCTTGACCTCTCTCAGTGGTGAACTTTGACTGGGATGTGTATGCCAAATAGACCCTCTCCTTCCCAAGTTTGGTCCTGGTGTTTTATCACAGCAGTAGCAGGCAACCTAGAACAATGCCTTGCGTGAACTGAGATCCTCCCAGAATCTGGAACAGTGCTCTTCGTGGACTGAGACTCTCCCTCTGCCTTTGGTTCATCCTCTCTGGTTACTTTTAATATAGTTATGGGGAGAATGGTTATATTAAAAATGAAAAGGATGATATACTTACAAGTTTTTAATCTTAAAATGAGGAGACGCTGTAGCTGAAGTAGTTTAAATAAAACATTTAATTCCCATAATACCTCTGTGACATATGGCAGTTTTGCTTAATGTGCCCATTTCACAATATGCATGACCTTATACCCACTTAAATCTCTGTAGTGGGACCCTGATTGTAATTTGGCCTAAATGTAGTTAAAGACAGAAAGGGCCTGAACCTAAGCCTGGTGCCAGTGTGCCATGCCTTCCTTATTCCAGACATATGGAGGACAAAGCACTGGGATTAAACTGGTCAGTTTTCACAGCAATCCTAAAAGGCTTGCATTAGTTAGAATTTTATAGGTGAGGAAACTGAGTAACTTGTATGGGGCTACAAAATTGGTAAGTATGTTTCTAACATGAATTTTTCAAGACCACAAAGTTCACATCCTTTATATAATTTACTTGAAGAATACCATTAATTCTGAATCTTTGGTGGAATGGTGGGGATAGAACCCAGGGCCTTGTACCTGCTGGGCAGGTAAGCACCCCACCAACGAACTACGTCTTTAGGCTGTGTTGTTGGTTTTCACTATGAAGTCTTTTTTCATATTTAAAACTACTAAAAAACTACTAAAATTTTAGAGTTAGAGCAGGGTTCTTGACTGACTGTGGATGTTTTGGGAAGAGAGCACTTTCTGTAGGATGTGCGGTGACGCCCCTGGACTCTGTTCACTAAATGCTTGTAGTTCCTTCCAACTATCTGCAACCCCCATTTGTGACGATCAGATGTATTCAGACACTGCCAAACATCTGCTGGGGAGCAAAGTTGCTCCTTAACAGGAAAATACTGATCTACCATCACTTTGTATTTTATAATTTAAAAGTTCTTTACAAAAGACAGGAAAGTGGGTTGGGGACCTGGTGCGGTTTGGTGGGGTGGGGAGGACTCGGTAGGGTTAAAAGGGACTAAGCGGTAGGGATGCACGCACGAGCATGTGCGCACGCGCGCGCACACACACACACACACACACACACACACACACGTATGAAGTGCTTTAGTCAGGAAAGCATTCTTTTTCTGTTTTTCCTCTCCCACAAACCACATGCTTCAGAAAGAATGACAGACGTTTCATGAACCTCTGTGGATGGTGTTAGTATCGCAGGTAAACTGAAGCTCTCCTCTTCCTGCTCAGTCCTCAGCCCCTCCCCCCCACCCCCATTATCTTGGGAACTTCAATTAAGAAAATAATTTATTAATGATTTTTGGGGGACTGGAGCAAGGCCTTGCTGTGTAGCCCAGGCTGACCTTGAACTCTTGACCCTCTGGGATGGCACTCAGCCTCTGGGATGACAATGTATGCCTCTATACCCAGCAAGCATTTCTTTTAATTGTAAAAATTTGGTAGGTTCGATACCTGTTTAAATTCTTTGGAAAGATAAACAGAATGAAATATGTTCACATATTTCTTCATCTTTTACTGGATGGAAATACTGTATTTTAAAATCACACAGATAGTGAAATAGGTGTTTATAAAACACAAACAATCAAAGATCAAATACAGAGCGGCAAGCCTGCCTTCCCTGTTCTCGTCGGCTGCACGGTCTTCTCACCAAAGGCAGCCCCGCTGCAGCTCTGGTGCCCCGCTTCTCCGTTCCTTCAGGCACAGGCACTTAGAGAGCCCACGGCGTGGGTTTCATTGCGCACGCTGCGCTCTTGCCCCTCCTCCCGCTGGGCAGTGCTGCTGAGCCCTTCTGTGTCCACATCACTCCACTTAGCTCGCTCTCTGGGCCTCTGCCTAATTATGCAACCATTAGACAAAAGTCGTTTTTTTCCCCTGTGGACATTTAAACCATTCTTAGCTTTTTAAAGTCACCCCACCCCATCTTTTCCCACCTGGCTCACACTGTCCTTCCGTGTGTATCACTCACATGTGTATGAGTCAGGGCCTGGGGTGATGTGCAGAGCTCCAGGAATTCTTAGCATCTGTTTCCCTCCCCTTGGGGTGAGCTTACTTTTTACCCTGTAGTCAGTAAGACACAAGACCTGCTTTTCTTGATTGGTAAGCAGCCTGGTGGCAGGGTGACTGCCTTGCTGGTACAGCAGCCCTTACCCACCTGAAGGTTCTCTACACTGCTTGATTCCTGCCCCCTGCAGTCCATACTCCTTGCCTTACACATTAAAGAGATCCCTGCAGGGCTTACCTGGCTCACTGGCTATCTGATAGCACCTGCTGTCACTCCCTGGTCTCCCCTCTTCTCTCTCCGTCCTAGCCTACTCTTCCTCGATTCATTCTTACTTTTGTCCTTTCTCCTGGGGTTATTTGATTCCTTGTACCTGAGGAACTGCCATCCCCAAGTTATATTTCTGGTTTTCCACTGGGGTATTATCATGATAGATAGTGATATCTGGGAATGAGAAGGGGAAGATGGGGCCACAAGATCCTACACGGGGACTTGCATTCTGCTGACGTCTTCAGACAGAGTTGGTGCAGAACAGGAGGTGCTACAGTTTCAAGGCTCTGATTCCAGATCCTCTAAATGATGAGGGTAGTGGTGGTGGTGGTGGTGGTGGTGGTGGTGGTGGTGGTGATTGATAAGTTATTTCTCCACCAGTAAAATGAGCCAATTCAAGCCAGATTAAAATATGTCTAAATGCAGGTTTACTGGGGAGCTGCACTCGGGAGGGCGAGTTTGATGGCCCCAAGGAAGGAGGCCAGGGAAGCCGGCATAGGGAAGGAGAGTGAGGAGAAGGGGAAGAGAAAGAAAGTGTGCTTGCTCACAAAGAAGGAAAAGGGATGTGGAGGGAGAAGAGGAAGAAAACCCCCAATGTCTGAGTTATACAGCAAAGAGCCTCTGGGAGAAGGGCAGGCCAACCACTGGGCTAGAGAGTTCAAGGTTGAGGACAGGGTATGCCAGGTAGGGACTAAGGGATGCTGGGAGAACCTGGAGTCCAGGTCTGCTTTGGTATGGAAAATATGTACCTCATCAGCTTGCTCTGGCCCTGAAACCAAACAACGATGATGGTAATGATGGTGATGATGGTGGTGATGGTGGTGATGGTGATGATGGTGGTGGTGATGATGATGGTGACAATGGTGATGATGGCGGTGATGATGGTGGGGAGGAGGAGGGAGAGGGGGAGGGGAGGGGGGGATGAGAGTCAGGGTCTCACTATATAACCCTGCCTGGTCTAGAACTTACAGAGATCTGCTCAACTCTGACTCCTAAATGCTGGGGTTAAAGGTGTGTGCTACTATGTCCAGCTCTGGTTCAGACTCTTTTAATGTTTACGTTTTTATGTTATATGCATGAATGTTTTGCCTGCATGTATGTCTAGGTACCATCTGTGTGCCTGGTGCCCTTTGGAGGCAGAACGCTGATGTTGAATCCCCTGGTACTGGAGTTGCAGATGATCATGAGCTGCTACTGGGTGCTGGGGCTCAAACGTGGGTCTTCTGAGGAGCATCCAGTAATCCTGACCCCTGAGCTACCTCTCTGGCCCCTCTAATTCAGATTCCTGATGACGTAGTGTGGAGCTGTGTTGCCTGATCTGAAATTAGCTGAAGGCCTTTGGCTATGGAGTGCTCCATCAAGTCTCTGTGGTTCTTGTCTTCCTCTGTGACCGGGAGGCGAGCACAGCCCCTTCTCAGGGCCGGCAGCTCCTTAAAAAGTCACAGCACAGTAACAGCTAATTAATTATTGGACAGTTAAACCGTGTGTCTATCCATTTTATGATGGGAATTTCAATATTTATGTACTTAATCAGTTGTAGAAGACAGAAAATGAAAGTAAGCTAAAATAAAATGAAAACATGCCCATAAACTCACAGCAGAAGTAACTGTGGTGACTTGGTACGCTATTTTCTCTGTTCTGTCATGAAAATGAGCATTTGCATGTAGCCAGCTCATTACTGCATTGCAGATACTGTTCTGTGCTAGCAAGTTCCAGGCAGCACACTCTGCTGTCATCTCTGAGACTGAAGTCCTGTTCTCTCGGCGGCTATTCCATTGTTTGTTTTGTGCAGTTGCTATTGTGAATATTGCAATTATTCTTAGTTTTAAAACAGAACTTAGACACAGTGACATGGGCATGATTACTCAGTGACATGTGGCTACTGTGCGGTATGGCTGGAGTTTGAGTCCAGAGACCATTCTCTTAATAACTGTGCTGCACTGATGTGATGGCCAGTCGTCACTGTCACCCGGGGGCACAGCCAGGGTTGTGTCTGTGTCTTTGCTCTGGCCAGTTTCCCATCAGATGCCTCAGTTGTCTAGAGTGTATGTGGTTTGAGGAGATTCCCTGGTGCGGTTTGCAATTGATCAATGTGAGTGAGAGGAAGGGGGAAAGATGTGAGCGGCTAGCTTGCCGGCGAAGCAAGAACAGAGCATCAGGAAACAGCAGTAACTGCAAGAGAGCACTTGAATGAGAGAGGTGTGTGCACGTGTGTACGTGTGGTATGTGTGTGTATATGTATGTATGAGTGTGTGTAAGTGTGTTAGACGGAGCCTTGCTGACTTCAAACTTGCCGTGTGGCCCAGGCTTGTCTAGAACTCTTTTCTGCTCCTCCTGCCTCTGCCTCCTGAGTGCTGGCATTACAGCTATGTGTCGCTGTGCCTGTGATATGCTTATGTGTTTTTATTTTTGAGGATGAAGGAGAATTAGGAATAAGATGGACAGAGATGGCAGGAAAGTAGACATGGGTGAAGGTCAGAGAGTGAGCCGGAAGAGGAAGCTGTCCCTTGAGGACGAGCTTGTCGTTTGGCCTCTGAAAGGAGAAGCACACTTTCCCCGCTGTTCTGGAAAAAGGAAGGGAAGCTTGTCTTGTGACAGGAAGTGAAGGGATTCTTTGCTTATAGCTTCGGTTTTATCTGGGGCATAGTGACAAGATCATCCGGCAGGAATAAATGGGGGGTTTTGAAGCAGGAGTTAGAAGTTTTGAGGTGTCTGCAGCTTTTTCATAACTGGTGATGGGACTGTTGAGGTTGCATGGTGCTGGGGGTGTGGAGTTGCTTGGCGGTGTTGGGATCCTGTATAGAGAGTATTGCTCTTTACCTGGTATTGCTAAAGGCACAGGAGTTATCAAAGGAGAGTCTCTTACCTTTAGAGTTTGTGGAAACTTAATAGTTGGCTAAATTAATTTAGTGTTTTGGCCAGTTTCATTAAACCTACCATGGATTCAGTTGGCATTGGAGACTGTTTTTGTACAATTTATTTTTTTAAAAAAGTCTATTCAAAATCTTTGGGTGCTCATAATATTGTCTATAGGATAGAAGTTACTCATGTGTAGGGCAGTGGGCTTCCCAGAGCCATCTGCCATCTAGGCTAGTAGAAGGGGACCTTTTGTGGTCTGTGGAGTCCAGGCTGTCTTGCTGGGTGTGGATTAGCTTATGGACTGATGCTAACGTTTCCAGAGATGACTAAAGAGTCATCCTCAGAGATGACTCAGGAGGAACAGCAGAGCTGAACCAGCATGGTGAGCTTACAGTCACTCTACCTCTGGTTACTGTCTCTGATCTGACTGCAGTGGTAGTGATCTCTGATGGACACTTGTAGGTTCTAGACACAGTGTGGAGGGACGGGATAGATAGAGGTCCTCTCTGATGATAGAATTCTGGTGTTCTCTCTCTCTCTCTCTCTCTCTCTCTCTCTCTCTCTCTCTCTCTCTCTCTCTCTCGTTTACTGATTAGAGAACAGAAACCCTGAGTTTCACAGAGGAAAATTGACTGTACTCATCCCTGGAGTTTGTTGGCTGACATGTTCTGTGAATACTTGAGTCCTCTCAGCTCCTCTCCAGAAAGCTAGCACTGTATTTGGCTCGCTCTCTCTTGGGTCTACTTTGCTAGGCTCCCCATCCTTATTTTCCCTGTATCTTTCTCAACTATTTTTAATTTACATCATTTGATTGTATTTTATGTGTCAGTATGACTTGCATAGAACAATCTGTTGTAAAAGTAAATAAAGTCAATTTTGAGTCAAAACAGGAGCCTTTCTGTGTCATGATTATACTTACCCTGCTGTGTCAGATAGATATCCCCTGCCGTAGTACATCCCCGTGGTCCCTAGCGGAGCCCTTAAAACACAAGCATCGATGGGGCTGGAGAGATGGTTCAGTGCTTAAAAGCACTGACTGCTTTTCTAGAGACCTGGGTTCAATTCCTGCACCATATGGCAACTTATAACCACCTCCAATTCCAGTTCCAAGAGGTCTGATGCCATTTCCTACCCTCTTTATGTATCAAGCAAATAATATGTACAGACATACATACAGCAGAACACCCATACATTATGTATGACTTGGTGGATAAAGTGTTTGCCTCATATGGTAAGGACCAGAATTTTGAATCCTGGACCTCACATGGTAGTGCATCTGCAATCCCAGTGCTCCTACTGTGAGATGGAGGTTGAGGCAGGAGGATCCCCAGAAGCTAGAACACACAGAGCCCAACACCGAGGGATACTGTCTTGGTGAATGTCAGGGTGCACATTTTTAATCAAAGTATTTGGGAGGAAGAGGCAGGTAGATCTTTGAGTTCAAGGCCAGGCTGGTCTATAAAGTGAGAAGTTCCAGGCCAGCCAATTAGGACTACACAATGAAACCCTATCTCAAAATAAAATAAAATAAAATAAAATAAAATAAAATAAAATATAAAAAGTGTGAATTTTTTTTTATCCAGCCGTTTTATCCTTAGGAAATTAGTGGGATTAATGGATAGAAGTCCAATGATGTTCATGGTAACATTGTTTATTGGTTTAAAAATTAGAAACAATTTTAATAGGGATTTGGTTTAATCGTGTTATAACCTCTTAGTTGAATATTATGCATGTGTTAAGTGATTGTAAAGCTCTGGGCACAGAGGTGTTCAGGATGTCTTAATATGCTGCAGAAACAGAATGAATATGCATAGAAAAAGGAGAAGTTTATAAGCTTAAATAGTAATTTGTTTTCTATCTAGAGGGAACATTTTCATATTTTTAAGTCATTGTTTTTCTTGAAGTTATAAAATAAGCAAATATGCTGGGTAGTGGTGGCGCACGCTTGTAATCCCAGCCCTAGAGAGGAATTGATTTGGTGAACATAAGAAATGTGATTGATCTGGTCATAGAACATTGAGGAACGTGGAGGGAGAGGCCCTTTTCCCATTCACAGTGAAACCAGATTGCTTTCCTTTCTCACTGATGACAAGTCTTCTGGAGACTCTGGGTGTTGGAAGGGGTCTTGAAAGTGTCCCTCTCAATGCTTTTAATGTTGGGGGCTCGGGATGGCTCTGTGCAGTTCAGGGATCTGCTGGGGCCACCGAGCACAACATGGTCCATCAGTGATAAGCCTGCCATGCTGGACCTGACGTCATCCCCAGTTTCCCTTCCTCTGCAAAGCCTTCTGATAACTTGGCAGTACCTTTGTGGTATCTTCCTTGTCTTCACACTCTGCCTGCTTTGACGTGGGGAAGGTTGTGTTTTGTAGGTGCTTATGAGTCAAGGGACTGGATGGGAGCGTGTACAGTCCTTGAGGATCAGGTTTCCCCTTCTGGGTCTGCGCAGACCAATTACACAGCTTTGTGGAGAATGGCATCCTAACCTCAGAGCCAGAGCTGCACAGCCTTGGTCAGTGGATGGCTCTTCCTTAGGGAGTTTAAAGATTTTTTTGGATCCCTCAGATTAAAACAGACTTTGGGCTTGAAAGAATAAATTTGTAAGATGTGGCTTAAATCATTTTTGTCTTGTACTTTAGCTCCTATTTGAGATCAGCAATTGCTGGTGCCCTCCCAGGGATGAATGGTGTATCCAAGAAGTGATAGCAGTCAATAAGTAAAAACCATATTTTGGTATAACTTAATTTTATTTAACGTTGTTTATTATTAAAGTGGCATACTTGTATTTCAGAAAACTTTAAAAATTCAGGATTAGGGTAGATTAACATTTTCTGCAACACAATGGCATTTTGTTATTTTTTTCAAGATATTTCCTCATCTAGATCTAAAATGTAGTATGCTATCAAGGTCACTGTTCTGGCAGAATATGGTAGATAAAGCAAAATGTCTCCCTCCCTCCCTCCCTCCCTCCCTCCCTCCCTCCCGCCCTCCCTCCCTCCTTCCTTCTCTCCCTCCCTTGCTTCCTTTCTTTTTCTTTTTTTTCTATGTTTATTTTTGGTTTTGTCCTACTGTTTAGCCTTCCTGTCCTGGAACTCACTATGTAGGCTAGCCAGCCTATCCTTGAATTTACAGATTCCTTCCCAACTGCCCTGAGTGCTGGGATTGAAGGTGTGTAGGCTGTGTGCTGAGGGAGAGCAGTCTCTGTAGTCTCTGCTTGGCTGTTTCTTCGCTCTGCTTCCAGCAAGCCTGTCAGCATGTGTAACAGAGGGAAACACCATTCCTCCTCACAGATTTGTGTTGGTTCAGCAGTATTCAAAATTGCATTATTCGGGGGGTGGGGGGAACCCTACAACCTTCTCAGAGTTAAGCTGGAGGAAATGAATCAAATGTTCTAGAGAATTCTGAAGAATAGCTGAGTTTCATTTCCTGAGGGCAGGAAAACAAAAAAAACCAACCCCCTCAAAAAAAAAAAAAAAAAAAAAGAAAACCAAACTGAAAACAATCCTCCCCCGCCTCCAAAAAAAAAAAAAATAAACCAAAAATTTTAAGGTCCCCTAGCTCTTATGTGGGGGGGGGGGGGGGTGGGGTGGTGGGATGGATGGGTGGATGGGTAGATGGATGGATTGATTGATGAATGGATGGATGGAGTTTTAAGCCAGGGTTTCTCTGTGTAGCCCTGGCTATCCTAGAAATTGCTTTTTAGACTAGGCTGGCCTGGAACTCAGAGATCTGTCTGCCTCTGCCTCCTGAGTGCTGGAACTAAAGGCGTGCAGCACTATGCTGGGCTCCATTCTAGCTCCTTGACTTTGTAGCCTGCTGGTAAGCTCTGCTATTCAGCTGTGCATGGGTGGAAGGAAGTGTGTCCTCGCCTTATTGATTTCTAAAGGTGTGTGTCTCCTTCCCCCAGCCAGAAAGCACTCCTATTCACATGTTATGCCCCCTCTCTCTCCTCATTTGCAGAGTACACGGGTGGAGTTTGACTTGCCAGAATATTCTGTTCGTCGACGATACCAGGATTTCGACTGGCTAAGGAACAAACTGGAAGAGTCGCAGCCCACTCATCTCATTCCCGTAGGTAGTAAGTCACTGCCGCTTGTTCTCGCTTTTCCCGAATTAGACCCACACAGGTGCCTTGGCTCTGCAGTTACGGGCTCCTCAGCACTTCATACTGAATCCACTCACCGAGAGTGTGTGTCAGATAGAGGGGAATGGCTTACACTCTCAGACTGTGCTCTGCGCTGCCAGCTTCTTAGTTAAAGTTGGGTAGATTATTACCTTTTTTTTCCTCCTGTCCTCCTTTCTTTAAAAAAATACTATTAATGTATGTGTGTGGATATGTGTGTGCATGAGTGCATGTGTGTGTGTGTGTGCGTGTGTGATAACATACATTTGGAGTCAGAGCACAACTTTCAGGAGTTGGCTCTTGCTTTCCACCTTGTTGCTGTATGGTTCCTCTTCTTTCTGCTGCTCTGTGTAGTCCTGGGTGTTGGTTTGTGAGTGTGGCGAGTCTCCTGCCTCTGCCTCCCATCTCAGTTGTAGGAATGCTGGCATTGCAGATGTGCACCACTGCATCCAGTTTCTCACATGGATCCTGGAGACTGAACTTGGCCTGTGGAGCTTCTTCAGCTGGCTCTTTTATTACCTGAGCCGTCTCACCGGCCTCTGTCTCTGTCTCTCTGTCACTCCCCCTGTCTCTGTCTGTCTCCTATGTGGTACTGAGGATTAATCCGAAGGACTCAAACTTGTACTTCATATGCTCTGTACGGAGCTGGACCCTACTCTGTTTACTTTTGTTCTGAGACAGAGTTTTACTAAGTTATCCAGGCTGACTTTGAGCTCATTTTGTAGTCTAGGTGAGCTTTGAACTTGCAGCCAGCATTAGCCCATTGAGTAGTTGGGACAACAGGAGTACACCACCCTGCTCAAGTTTCTTTTCCCAGTATAAGATATTACCTTATTCTCAAGCTAGCCCAGAACTCAGTATCCAACCTAGGTTAGTGTCAAGCCTGTGGCAGTCCTCCTGCTCAACCCCGTGTAGAACTATGGTGCCTGGCTCACTCAGATTTTCGCTTGGACTATGGCTCTCTCTTTCTCCCTCTCTCTTTCTCTCTTTCCCTCCCTCTCTCTCCCTCTCCCTCTCTCTCTCTCTCTCTCTCTCTCTCTCTCTCTCTCTCTC